TTGGGGGGTTAGGGGTTTAGGGGTTTAGGGGTTAGGGGTTAGGGGATAGGGGTTAGGGGTAAGGGTTAGAGGGTGTAGATCGACGATCTGAGGAAGTGGAGTTAATTTAATGAGGTGTGTGGAGGGCGGGGGGAAGGGCCGGTTTATTTAATATGGACGTGGGTGGGGGTTCATATCGGGGTTTTATCTAACAACGGTGCGGATGGGGGGTTCAGACAGGTGCGGGTGAAGGTTCAAATAGGGGTTGGTTGGATCTCGACAGTGCTAAATCAAAACAACCCTTCGACAACCCGAAAATACCCGCGACTCTCTAGTTCACACCCTGCCTCACAACGTATCCGAACACCCCGCCAAAAACAAACAACAATTACGCATCATTGGTAAAGAAGGTGAAGACTTGACATAATCCCTTATTTCAATTTTTTTAAGTCGCATCAGAGCATGCATTTAGTCATTCATCCAATATAGAGTCCAAGCAAGCAATGTCACTCACAATGAAAAAACACAAATGAGTATCGAGTCGCTCACAAAGGCAATGTTGTGAAAACAATATGTCGGAATATGAAGCATGATCATTCAAAAACGAAAAAACTGGAAGGTCACATGGGCGCGGGCTATGAATCCCCCGCGGTCGGGGTCGCCGAGGGCACGACCGCGAACCGCGGTCACCGCAAGGCCGCAGTCATGAAAAAAAAAATAAAAAATAAAAAAAAATCTGAAAAAAAAAAAATTTATGCCAAAAACTAAACTGAACAACTTTTGTCTTGGGGTCATATCCAAATTCGTTACCAAATTTGAGATAAAAAAGAAACAAAATCCTTTATTTTTTTTACTAAAAAGAATAAAGTGAAGAACTTTTGTCTGAGGGATTTCTGTTTTTCATTAAAAAAATATAAATAAAAATAAAAAAAATAAAACTAAAAACATACAGTTGTAGAGTGTACAGAAACTTATAACCCCATTTTTTTTTTTTTTTTTTTTGCCTATTATCCTAGGAGTTATTAACTTCAAACATGTAAAAATACCTAAAAGGAGCAAAATACCTATTTTTATGTCTCTTGCGAAGTTTTGCTTTTAAAGCCCCTTTGAGGCGTTAAAAATGTCAGGGTTTTTCGACCGCACTCGACCGTGGGCGGTCGGCCACCGAGGGCGGGCTCCTGACCGCGGGCGGTAAAAATGGTCTGCGGTTGCGACCTCGTGTGATACATAGGGCGCTGGTGGGGGTTCATATCGGGTTTTTATCTATCAACAGTGCAGATGCGGGGTTCATAAGGGTGCGGGTGGAGGTTCAAATAGGGGTTGGTTGGATCTCGACAGTGCTAAATCAAAACAACCCTTCGACAACCCGAAAACACCCGTGACTCTCCAGTTCATACATTGCCCTGCAACATATCTGAACACCCCGCAAAAAACAAACAACAATTACACATCATTGGTAAAGAAGGTGAAGACTTGACATAATCACTTATTTCAATTTTTTTAAGTCGCATCAGAGCATGCATTTAGTCATTCATCCAATATAGAGTCCAAGCAAGCAATGTCACTCACAATGGAAAACACAAATGAGTATGGAGTCGCTCACAAAGACAATGTTATGAAAACCAAATGTCGAAACGTAAATCATGGTCATTCAAAAGTGAAAAAACTGGAAGGTTATATGGGCGGGGGTGGGGGTTCATATCGGGGTTTTATCGAACAACGGTGCGGATGGGGGGTTCATACGGGTGCGGGTGGAGGTTCAAAAGTGCTAAATTAAAACAACCCTTCGACAGCCCTAAAATACCCGTGACTCTCCAGTTCACACCCTGCCCCGCAACATATCCGAACACCCCGCAAAAAACAAACAACAATTACACATCATTAGTAAAGAAGGTGAAGACTTGACATAATCACTTGTTTCGATTTTTTAAGTCGCATCAGAGCATGCATTTAGTCGTTCATGCAATATAGAGTCCAAGCAAGCAATGTCACTCACAATGGAAAACACAAATGAGTATGGAGTCCCTCACAAAGACGATGTTGTGAAAACCAGATGTCGAAATGTGAAGCAGGGTCGTTCAAAAGCGAAAAAACTGAAAGGTCAGCAAAAGAACCCTGGACCAAAAACGTCTCTCTCTCTCTCTTTGATCTCGTCTTGTGTTGTCCAATGTCTAAACGTGAATCACGAAAACACTAACAAAATCCAATGACATGCACGATATACGTGAAGATATGTCTAATATCTAAAACCATCCACGCCAAAGTATAGTACACCCTACCTACCTGCAACTCAATGTCTGTGCAAAGCAGTGCATGCGACTGAAATGATAAGTCCCAAGTCCAAAAAGGAAAACCGCCATACAACATATACAAATTAAAACAAAATCATAAATAAACAAACAACTTATTGTCCTCGTCGTCAACGACATCCGCCCTCGTCCTCGTCCGGGCAAGAACTACACCATCGCCCACCCTGTTGGTCTGGCCGGAGTCATCAGGCGCTGCACGAGCGGCCTCCTGTGCTCGTACAACTCTCTCTCTCTCTCTCTCTCTCTCTCTCTCTCTCTCTCTCTCTCTCTCTCTTTCGTCCACCTCGACCCTAACCATGCCTCTGAGCAGAATGCGATGGACATCCTCCCTCCTCCGCTGTCCCACAGGCATCTCCAAACTGCCAGTCCCCGTGGAATACGGGTCAGGTGCAGGTTCAACAGGGCGTGGTGTCCTGTCTCTAACATCCTCGTGCAAGATGCGGTCTGCTGTTCCTTTCTCTGGTAGGTGGGTCGAAGGCGGATCGACAACCGTCGAAGGGGTCAGCGCATGTACCCCTGCTGCGATGGTCCCCAAACGTCCACCACACTGTGTCGATGCACCACACAGCGGTGGTCCTCGAACGTCCACCACGCTGTGTCGATGCACCGCACTGCGGTGGTTCAGTATTGTCCAAACGTGCTCCTCCGCTCTCGCCCTGACCCCAAAGTGATGTACCACCACAAATGTCCCTCAGTCCCTGTCATGTGGCAACGATCGAGGTCTCTGAAATGCAGGTATGACAATTGATCATGGTTGCATGTCTCGCATTGCCTAAGTGACCTTCCTCACCGAACCTAATCCACAAGGCCAAGTCTTCATCCGCGACTGCGGAGAAAGATTGTCTAAACCTCTACCCTCCGAATGTGGTATCCCTGGTCCTGATGAACGACTCTCTGATCTGCCGCGCCCACTATCTCATGACCTCGTATTTGTCGCGCATTCGGCTTTGATGGTCTCCATCTGCCCCACAAGATCCTAAGCGGGGGGGGTGTCACGCCTGACATGGAAGAGGGCACATATAGGCTACACGGTGCATATAGTGGGGGGGCTGCCAAAGCTCTCCTACTGTCATCCTCCGTCCGCCCTCGCTGATCTGCCGCCAAAGGATCCTCCCTCCCATCTCACTCCAGAATTGTTGTGGGCATGCCGCCACCCGAGGGCGACACACAAACTCCCACCACAACCGCGTTAGGGCGGCCGACCATTGCTGAAAAGGTTGCCTGCTCGCCATGTCCCTCATCTGCAGATCGCTGTGTATGTGCAACACACACACTACTGCCACTACCTCCTGCATCCGCCTGATGCCCTCCAGCTGTGGTCCGTCTGTCCTCCTCGCATGCATCATGTCGAGCAACTGTATCCGATCCTCCATGAGGTGCATCCCCTCCACCGACACCCCCATCACCACCTCCCTCCGCATCGTCATCCTCATCTCGAATGGGGTCAAGTCCCGGTCTGCAAACTCTGCCATCACCCTGCACAGTTTGGGGGTCGTCCCCCTCGTCAACCTCCTCGGAATCCTGGATCCGCTCCCTCGTACCGTCGGTATCCCGACAATCCGCAGCACCGACGAGTGCAACGCCCGTCTCAAGGGCGCAAGCAACATCCAAGGTCGCTCTAATATCCTGTGTCACAGGGTAGGACTGAGCAAGCACCAGCGCTCGCTGCCTCTCCTCTTTGTCCTTCCTGTCCACATCCGTCTCCACATCAATCTCGTGGATGGGTGGACAATCGACATCATCCCCCGTGTGCCGCATGGCCCCTCCAGGCGTACCTTCCATCCCCCGAGCCGCCTCATCAACAAACTGCTCGAGACACCCCTGTCAATATCCAATCCTCGTATAATGTGGCTGATAGGTGTCTCGTCTGTGGCAACCGGGGCCTCTCCATCATCATGCGGGGTCGATGGAGGACCCATCGACAAGCCGAGGAAATCGGTCAACGAGCCGATCGTGTTGGCTTCGTCCCTTGCAGAGGATGAATGGCTGCGAACAACCTCGAATCTCCCCCTACGAGGGGAAAGAGGAGTCTGTCCCCCCGATCGTCCACCTCCTCCGCCCCTGCCTGCCCCCCCCGCACCATGATCTGTCTCTTCCCTCAATCTCGTAGAACATCGCTGACCCTGCAGCCCCGCGGCAGTACTGTCTCGATGACCGTCCTCACCTCCCACTGCTCCCACTGTAGCGTCGTCCACACCCCTGTTAAAATCCATATTGATGATATCGTCGTTGGACTCATTGCTGCCCTCATACCCTTTATCGTCATCGTCACTGCTCAAGTCATTGGATGTATGCCGTCGTTGTCGAATGGACGCCCTTCGACGCTGTGCCTCTGCATGAACTACTGCAGATGCAAAGTCCACTATTTTCTCGTGGGCGAGGCGAAAGATGAGGACGGACCAAGGTCAACTCTCCAGTTTAATGCCGCATCCGTGCAAGAGGAACATCATCGTCGGGAGACCGCTCCGACTCCACATCCAGGTCATCCGGATCTGACCATGGCTCCTCCTCAATCTCGTCCTACACGAGAGGGTCGGGTTCAGGGTCGTACACCACCTCCTCATGTGGAAAAAAAATAGTCGCTCGCCTGCTGAAGAATCTCTCCACTCTCGCGGACCTGCCTGTCCAGCTGCTCAATGGAGACCTTGTCCACGGGGCGGACTCCTCAGTCACGGGGCTTCGGTCTCTCATCCTTCGTGCCGATGTCCTCATCCTCCCATGGGAGGACATACCCCACACCCCTCCTGTGGCATTGAAGCAGTCTCAAATTGATGGATATCTCCACCAAAAGAATGAGCTTGGTAAAACCAAGCTTGTTACGCCGCTTCACCTGAGCGCGCTCGTGGACAACCCAGCTCCTCTCCACAGGAGACTCATGAGAGGCACATGTCCACGCGTGCATGAGGCGAACAACAATACTCTACAACAAAGGAATACCATGCCCCTACTGCACGGTCTGCACCCTCCACTGACCAACCACCGATGTCTCCATCTCCCCCCTACAACTATTCGCATCTCTGTCCCCGTCGCGACCTCCATACGTGCAATCGCCCTCTCAACTGTGGAACTCCCTCAAAGTTGTCCTCAAATCCTGATACAACTGCCTATCTGATCCCGCCTGCTCTCGGAGGTAAATGTCAGACTCCTCCTCCAACTCCCTCTCGCGATCTGTCGTCCACGCCCCCTCAAAGTAAGCAATGCTCTTATTGTGCGTGTTAAGGATGTGGGCCATGCAATGAGCAGACTCCAGCATATGCCTCCTCCGCGCCTATAGACCTCTAACGAGGGCGTCGAGCTTTGCACGGCTGGTGCGCCGGGTAGGTGTTTAAGCCACCCTCTAGGCCTCTGGATGACCCTCTCCGACCAGGACCACAACTGTGACATCATGCGGCCCCCACAACCGAGTTTGTGCAGCAACTGCAGTACAGGTGTCATCAGCTCGAAAATATCCTCTACATCGTCTCAAAACACAGCGAATTTGACCTGCTTCCACACCCATCGCGACTGAAGCCATAAGCTCCGCCTCCACGGCTGTCGCAACCACTTGTCGCTGATCATCATCTCCTCAAGCGCGTGACGTCGCTCCAACAGCCTCTCTAACATCAAGTAGTGTGTCGCGAATCTGGTCTGCATTGGGCAATGAGCTCTCGACTGCGACCAGAGGTGCCTCTCGAAGTTGACGCCGACGCTGTTTGCCCTTTGGAAGGGTGACACGCGGAGAATCGCCTTAATAGGGTGAGGGCAGCCCCGTGTGATCGAATGAATCGCACGGCCGCCCTCGCTCTGATGATGGTGTCCTCCCTGTGTCCAATGACACCATCTCTCCCGTCTTTGCCAATGTCTAATTAAATCAAGTAACAGACATGCACTGCACAAGAAAGTAAAGTGATGCGACTATAATTGAGATCCTTGTCCTTCACAAGGAGCTTCGCCGTGGAATCCGTACAAATAGCGTTGACATTTTTAATGCCAAAGTCGTCAGATATCTTCTTCCACCTCCTCACAACCACATCCGTCGTGTCCTTCTCAGCCCCGTCCCTCAGGACTATTCTCAATAGGTACGCCCTAACGATTCGGCTGCCAAAAAGTTTACTATCTGATCAACAGTAATGGATTTGCGACCATCCGTGACGATGGTCGCTCGTGTCGCCGCCACATCTCTCCTAAGTGTCACCAGCATCTCTGCAACGCCCTTGTGTTGCTGGACAATACCATCCCTAGTGATGCATCGATGGTTGGGCAGGAACAGAACCACCCGAGACGAACATGTTGCAAGGTGTTTTTTGAACGTGTTGTACTCAAGCCTCTTCGCCGTGTGGAACGGGATGCCGCTGATATAGAACCACTTCAGGAAATATGTGTCCAAGTCGTGCTGCCACTTTGGACCGAAGGCATCATTCATGCGTGACGGACATAACTTTTGTGGCCACTTTCGCCGGCGGACACTGCGAAGAAGTCTTCCTCTTCCTCGACGTCCCAATGTCAATGACCGCTCTCTAGTCTGATCTCAACTCTCCGCGGTCACTGCCCGCCTCTCTATCAACTCCAATTGGAACGTCCACAGACCTATCGTCGTCCGGCCGATGGCCGCCATCAACACCTCCCTCTCTGTCACTTCACACACCCCGCCAGCCTCTTCGACGTCGTCGTTCGCCACTCGCTTAGGATCGTCTTCGTCCTCCTCTCTCGAGTCTTCCTGTTGTTGACCGAGCTGTCCTCTCTTATCTGCCCACCCCCTCTCCACAAGGTATGCCTGTATCTTCTTCTAGTGGCTCTGATCGAAGTGGTATGAATTCTTGTTCCAGATCTCAGCCAAGATATCCAACGTGGCTTGAGGGCAGTTATTCGTGATCGTGTCGTGCAACTCGCACTTGCTCTAACTGCCGACAAACTCTTGGTCACACAGCTTGCACTTCATGACGAAGTTGCCATTGCGGCTTGGCAGCGTCTGCCCCTTCTGCATTCATTTGAAGCCAACAAACTTCCGCTCCGCATCTCTCAGCCTCTCTCTGTTCACAAGGATGAACTCCCTGTGCGGCCCCCGACGCTTCGGCACCATCTTGAACGTCCCTGCGGGCCAATCGCTGTTTGTGCCCCCCCTAGTGGCTCCCACACGTCCCAATGGGCCCCTAGGCGATCGACAAGGCAGGCCTGCGGGAAGTGCGGGGCCCTCGCGCCCCGGGTCTGGCGGCGTAGGCTGTAGCGTCAGGCCTGCGGCGGAACGACCCACCCCAGACTATGCGTCGTTTAAGCGTATGGCGCGTACACTCGTACGAACGGACCATACGTACGCGCGCATGGGCCGTAAACGGGCCGTAGACCCGGCAACTCTCTCTCTCTCTCTCTCTCTCTCTCTCTCTCTCTCTCTCCCCCTCATGCGCGTGGGGGTGTGCCGACTCTCTCTCTATATATATATATCTCTATCTCTCATGCTCGTGAGAGCGCGCCGACTCTCTCTCGCTACCTCTCTCTCTCCCTCTCCCACAGCCAATCTCTCTCTCTCTCTCCCACTCTCTCTCTCTCTCTCTCTCTCTCTCTCTCTCTCTCTCTCTCTCTCTCTCTCTCTCTCTCTCTCTGTGGGCTCTTTGGCAGCGGCTCCTCGACCGGTCCTTGGCGGCGGCTCCTTGGCGGCGGCTCCTTGGCGGCGGCTCAATGACGGCTCCCCACGTGGCGGCGACGCTGCGGTGCGACTCTCCCGACGGCGCCATTCGGACTGCCCGGTTTAAGTGTACGGAGCGTCCGAGCGGGGGTAAAGCGTATTTACGAAGAGTCCCAACGGAGGTAAAGCGTACGTACGGAGCGTCCGAACGGAGTGGGCCATATGTAGGCTCTCTCTCTCTCTCTCTCTCTCTCTCTCTCTCTCTCTCTCTCTCTCTCTCTATCTCTATCTCTATCTATCTATCTCTCTCTCTCTCTCTCTCTCTCTCTCTCTCTCTCTCTCTCTCTCTCTCTCTCTCTCTCCG